CTGGAACTCACTCTGTAGACCAGGCTGGCCTTGAACTCACAGAGATCCGCCTGTGTCTGCCTCCTAGTGCTGGAATTAAAGACGCGTGCTACCACATCTGGCCCTCGATGAATATTTTTAACACAAGGCTGGAATGTGACTGAGTTGGCAGAACACTTTCTCTGTATGTATGGGACTCTGGGTCCCACCCCAAGAACTGGGCTTGGTAGCACACACTCATAATCTTGGCACTCAGGAGGTAGAGTCAGGAGGATCAGAAACGTAAGGTCATCCTTGACTAGCTACACAGTGAGTTTAAGGCCAGCTTGGATACATGAGGCCCAGTCTCAGTAAACAAACAATAAATAAGCCAAGAAATTGAAGAAGCCAAGCGTGTTTACCTCCTGGCTGTAACTCCCACAGTGGAGGGCTGAGGCAGGACAGTTAAAGATAGTCTGGGCTACATGAGATCTCGACTGAAATAAAAAAGAGCATTTTTATTTTATTTTTAACTTCTTCTTAAATAATGTGCATGTATGACGCATGTGCATAGGTAGGGGTGTGTGTGTGTGTGTGTGTGTGTGTGTGTGTGTGTGTGTGTGAGAGAGAGAGAGAGAGAGAGAGAGAGAGAGAGAGAGAGACAGACGGGGTACACACATGGAGGCCAGGGAAAAATTTGTGGGGCAGCTTCTTTCCTCAGTCTTTATGTGGCAGACTTCAGGGATCTGACTCAAGCAATCATATCAGGTTTACAGAGAAAGTGCCATTACCTACAGAGCCATGTCACTAGCCCCCAAATCTGCAAAATAAACACCTTTGTACAATTGTCATCCATAGAGAGATGCCTCTTAAAGATCCTTTCAGGTCGGTCACCCCTTTACCATCAATGTGGGGACCACTTCAACCTCCCAAATGACAGAGCTTTGATTTGAACTTTATAGAGTAGAAATTATACATGGGAGCTGGAGAGATGGCTCAGCAGTTTAGAGCACTGGCTGCTCTTCCAGAAAACCTGGGTTCAAGTCCCAGCACCCACATGGCAGCTCAAAACTGTCTGTAACTCCAGCTCCAGGCTTCTGGCACCCTCACACAGACATGACGCATGTGCATAGGTAGGGGTGTGTGTGTGTGTGTGTGTGTGTGTGTGTGTGTGTGTGTGAGAGAGACACCAATAGGCATAAAACAAAAATAAATTGTCCATCTATGATCTATATATTATCCATGACTGGACTGACTAGATGGCTTAACGGGGGGCGGTGTTTGCTGTCGAGCCTGACAACTCGAGTCTGTTTTCTTCTGACTGCCACACATGCATCTGGGCAGGTGCGTGTCCCCACACAGACAGCATCCTGGGCATGTCTGTGGACATGTGTCCTCTTTCTTCTTAGACACACAGAGAATGGCTCAGCAGGGAAAGGCACTTGCTGTGAGAGCCTGATGACCCAGTTCTATCCCTGGCACCCATGGAAAGGTGGGAGGAGAGAACCAATGTCACGAAATTCTCCTCTAAACCCCCCCCCCCCCATGCGAGCCGTGCCGTTCGTGCCCACACATTCTAACAATAACAGTAATGATAAGAAACACAGATCCCGGAGCGTTCCACTGCTCACGGTCAGCTCAGATGTTTAGCCCTGGTAGACATATTCCATTTTTCTGAAATGCGTTTCGGATGGTCCTCTGTGCAGCATGGTGTCTAGGGGTTTGAGACTCACGGCAGTGGCTTAGATGAGGTTTTCAGTCTTTCTCAGCCTCAGTGTTTACAAGCGAATGGGGCTGCTGGACTGGGGAGCTGGCTCTGCTGGTGACTTCCTGGCCTCTCAAGCATGAGGACCTGAGTTGATTCCCCAAACCCTGTGTAGGAAGTAGGGAGTGGCGCCACACCCCAGGGCTGGGGAGGCGGGGCTACTGGGGAGGCGGGGCTACTGGGGAGGCGGGGCTACTGGGGAGGCGGGGCTAGATCAAATTTTTTGCTGTGCTTTGCTTATGCACGGGTTTTTGAGGCAGGGTTTGACACTGTCTCCCAGATTAGCCTAGAATTCACCCTGCAGCCCAGACTGTCAGCCATTGAACTTACAGCAACCCTCCTGCCTCTGCCTCTTGAATTCTCGAGAGACAGGTGTGTACCACTACATCTGGCTTGTTTTGACAAATTAAAAAAAAAAATCTTAAAAGTGCCCCTCCAAAGGCACAGAATTAAGAATTTATATACAGAGATTTTATTGTTCTAGAATATCCCAAATGAACTCAAATACTAATGTCCGTGTGGGCCAAGCAGGCTTTAACTAGCCGAAGACTTGCCTCGTTGTCCTGTCTCTACCCTTTTCACAATCAGCTTTTCAGTCTACAGACACTTAGCAAAGTTCATGATAAATCCCATCCTCCTGCCTCAGCCTCAGTGCTAGGATGATAAGCCTGCACCTATCAAACATGCCCCTTTATAATTGGTTTTCTCTTTCCTCCATGTGGGTCCCGGGAATTCAGTTCACGTCCTCAGGCTTGGTGGAGCCATCTTGCTCTTCACTGAAATCAACTCCTTCTTTTAGAACTTTTAAAATTTCATTTCATGGGCATGGGCGTTTTGCCTGAATGTGTGTGCATGTACCATGTGCCTTCCTGGTGCCCAAAGAGGCCAAAAGACAGCATTGGATCCCCTGGAACTGGAGTTACAGCTGGTTGTAAGCCACCATGTGGGTGCTGGAAATGGTACCCAGGTCCTCTGGAGGAACAGCCTGTGCTCTATGTGCCGAGCCACCTCTCTAACTTCCAAAACTATTCCTTGGTACATCTGCTTTAGAAGACAGTTTCGCATCTCGTAATCCTGAAGATACTAATGATTAGAGACAGAAAGGCCACCTATACGTAGCCTCACTCCACAAGCAGGCATGCTCGCATGCATATGGTGTCCCAGGCAATGCTGTGCTGTGGCCCCATCTCGAAAGAACCCAGATGCCCATAGAGAAGAAAGTGGACATACTGTGGGCTGATCTCTCCACAGAGTAGTACGCAGCAAAGAAAACGTATCACCCACAGCTATGGATGACAGCAGGCGAGTTTGAAAGTCGAAAAGATGACCCCAAGGAACCAGGTCCTGCAGAATGATGCTTATTATGGGGTCGAAGGGAGCCAAACCGCAGCTCCTGCTGAGGAAGGCGTGCTAAAGTCATAAAGCTAAAAGAATGATCAGGCAGTGGTTATAATGGAGCCAGCCCCCGTGTGGGCCTGTGGTCCGGTTTCTGGGGCGCTGACACCCACAAAGGTGGTGATTTCTCAGCTTGTTCATTTGTATTTTATTGTATGTTTCTCTGTGTTTATGGAATTTCCAAATGGGGGGGACAGAGGGCAGGTGGGGGTGATCCAGGCGCCTGGTAGAGATGGGGCCATGCCAACACCAGGCCAGCCGCCCTGTCTAGCATGCTAGGGCTCAGTTAGCGGTCTGCTCCTAGGAGCTCACAGGTGCTCCTGCCAGGGTCTCCAGGGTGACCTAAACATCAGCTTGGAAGCACCCCTAAGATCTGCAACCCTCCCAGAAGTGCTCTGAACCTTCCAGCTCGCAAAAATTGTCTTTTGCTCAACAGACCCTCATTTGCTCAGCGACGGCCACCCACACTAGTCCCTACACCAACCCTCCGTTCTTTAAGTTCTTCCTTCCAACTGGGCCCGCCTGGTTCTAGGCAGCAACACGGACCTGGGGTGGCAGGCAAGGTCCTCTGTGCGGGAGGATCTGTCCCGACTTCCCCCTGTGCCCAGCCGCGCCTGCTCCCGCGCCGGTGATTGGTTGCGCGCATAGCCGGGTGGGTCTTGCTCCAGGGCGCAGGGCCCAGGTCTAGCCCCGGATTCTGGCTGGGCAGCTCTCCCCTCGCACCTCTACTTTCAGCGGAACTGAGGGAGGGGGAAGGGGACGGGGAGAGAGGCGCTCGGGGGTGGGGATGCTGCCAGGCTCTGCCGCAGCCCGAGCCGCTGCCGAGCGGCGCACACCGCCCTCCCTCGCTCTTTCGCTCGCTCTCTCGCCTCCCCCCCCCCCCCCGTGGGGAATTTTCAAGACTGCGCTGCTGCAATTTCCCCCCGGCCGAGGCTGTGCCGCGCCTGGCTGCGCGCACACACGCTTCCGCGCGCAGAGGAGCCGGCGGCTGCTGAATCAGGAGGAAAACAGATCGGCTTTTTTCAAAGCCGGGGACCAGCGGCTCCCTGACGCCTCCGAGCCCCGCCGCGCCCCTGCGCCCCGCTCCTCCGCCCCCCGCTCTCCAACCGGGTTGGATTTGGGGGAGGGGCTGCAGCGTTTTCAGGAATTTTCTATTCTTTCCAGGTCTAGGAAAGTCAGCAAAACAGACGGACAGATCCTTCTCTGCCACCCTCCTCCCGTAGCAAAGACCTGGTTTTGGCTTTTTTTTAATTATTTAATTTTCTTCTTCTTTTTCAAATGGGCCGAGCCCACGCCTTTAGCAAGATGCCAAGCTGACCCGAACCTCCGAGGAATCTGAAGCTTATCGCTGCGTCCCAGGGAGGGGGGGGGGACGTCCTTCGCTTAGACTTCGCGTTTTAAAGGGGGTGTGCATTGGAACGTTGCTTTAAAAAAATCTTTTTACACTATATATTTTTTAACTGATTTTTTTTTAACTGAAAAAATTTTTTCCTCTCCGGAGTGGGTGGCCGGGGATCGCCTGGATCGCGTCCCCGGTTATTTTTGCCGCGCCCCTCCCCCGCGCCCCGCCCCCGCGCCCTCCCCCGCACCCCTCCTCCCGCCCGGGGTCACCGCCTCTGCCGGCATGTCCCGAGCCGCGCTCCCCGGCTCGGCCGGGCCGTCCCGCTCGTGAGCCCCCGAGCCGAGGCCGGGCGCCGCCGCCCGATGGGCTGGGCCGTGGAGCGTCTCCGCAGTCGCAGGTGCAGCCGCCGTCCCCACAGCCCGGCCAGCCTGAGAAGCGGCGGCGGTGGTGGTGGTGGTGGTGGCGGTGGCCGTGGCTTCCGCAGCGCTCGCCGCAGCAACAGCAGCCGCCGCGTAACCCGAGGCCCTTTGCTCTTTGCAGAATGGCCCGCTTTGGAGACGAGATGCCGGGCCGCTACGGCGCAGGCGGAGGAGGCTCAGGGCCGGCCGCCGGGGTGGTCGTGGGCGCCGCGGGCGGCCGAGGAGCCGGGGGCAGCCGGCAGGGCGGGCAGCCCGGAGCGCAGAGGATGTACAAGCAGTCGATGGCGCAGAGAGCGCGGACCATGGCCCTCTACAACCCAATCCCCGTCCGCCAGAACTGCCTCACGGTCAACCGCTCCCTGTTCCTCTTCAGTGAAGACAACGTGGTGAGAAAATACGCCAAAAAGATCACAGAATGGCCATATCCTTTGCCCCAGCCCGGGCGGCTGCGCCTCCCCTCCTCCTCTCCACCTCCTCCTCTTCTCTTTCTCCACCTCTTCCTCCTCTTCCTCCTCCACCCTCTGCGGGGCTGAGAGACCTGGGGGCTGTGGGAGCTGGGGGTCTCCTCGGCGGCTAGGGGCTGGAGATGAGGGCCCCGGAGCTGTGCGAAGCAGCCTCCCGGCCTGCTGGGATGCAGCTACAGAGCGAGCCTGCGAGTACTTAGGAGGCTCGGGACTCGGGGGAGTGAGTGGTTCCTTGCAAAGACTGAAGGTCTGGGTCTTGGGTCGCGCAGGGACACTGATGGGGGCTCTTCAGATGGGGTCTGATTTCTTCCGTTGGAGCCCTAGTTGGGCCAGTGCCTGGACGCTTTAGGGCCCACACGTGGGCCCTCCTCAAATCCTATAGAAAAGGTCCTCGGCCTCTCCATCCTGGTGTTTTACCTAAGGTGGGAGCCTCAGGCCTAGGGCATGGGACACCATGTGGCTTGGTGGTGGAGTCATCCCAGCCTCAGTGGCTCTGGGTGGGCCGCCAGCTGTATCTGGGGACTGTCCTGTTTCATGGTTTGGGGAACTGTTCCTCTGTCTCCGTGTATGCAAGTCCTGTTCCTCCCGTCACAGGTCAGAGCCCCTTCAGCGTTATCTTTTGGGGTCTAAACCTATCCAGCCGGTGAGGCCCATGGCCTGGGAAGACCTGAGGTGGGTTGTTCCAGGATGAGAGAAGGCAGAAGGAAGGAGAGGAAGTGGGCCCCTTTGAAGGGCTGCTTGTGGGCTTGGTGGGGTTTAGCTTCTCACACCCTGGGGAGCGGGGAGGGAACACCAGGAGGATCAGTCTCCATATAGGCATCTTGGACAGGTAGTCCCCCCACCACGAAAGACCAGAGGAAAAAGGCAAAGAGCCCTTTTTCCTCTGCTGAGGAGTGATTTCACACACACGGTGCCCCGAATTTCTTGAAGTCCTCCTTTGCTGCCCATAAACCTCGGCATCTGTGAAGACACAGGCAGGCGCGGGTGGATAGAGTCGAGGTTTCTCTGTCATCTAAGCATGACCCAGATTCCCGGTGTGGGGGGGGACACACCCTGCTCCCCAGGCTGGCTGGCCACCCCGCCATGCCCAAATGTACCTCTTTTCAGGCTCCAATTCCTTGAGGGCCAAAATGACACGGGCTGGGCAGATCCCATGAGTTTGCCAGGGGTCGCTAGCTTTTGGGTAATGGGTGGGGCCAGTCTGTCTCAGCCAGGACTGGGCCCTTTGGGCTCTTGGAGTCCCTGCTCAAAGAGCAGGATGGGTGCGTTCTCTTCTAGGGGCTCCAGATGGTTGGTTCCTGGGGCTGTGAAATTACACCGGGGGAGCATGAGGTTTTGGAGCAAGTGGCTTCTGTGGAGTCTGGTGAAAATTAAGATCTATGTAGTGGAAGGCTTCTTTCTGAGGGGTGTCTCCCTAACCATAGTGCTGTTGGTGCTTAAGGTAGGTGCCAGAATTTTGCTCCCTGAACTCCTCCTTGCCAAGGTTGGTCAGTGTGTCCTCCCAAACACTTCTAGCCCAGTAAAATGCTTAGAGGACATGTGACTTTAGTACCCAGACTGGAATCAGTAGCTGGGGCTTAGAGGACGCCAGAGGATGAGAACAGGCCTTCGGTCGTTCTAGGGACTGTCCGGGGAGCGACCACCGTACTGTTAAATGACTTCTGAAGCCTTCCAAGAGGAAGGAGAGGAGTTGGGGAGCCCTTCTGCTGTCCTCAGCTCACCCCATCCATCCCGGATGCTGCAGCTCTGAGAGCTGTCATAGCTGAGCTGAGCCTCGGGCACCGGAGAGCACCCCAGCCTTGTCTGTTGGCTAGCCCAAGCCTCACTCCCTCTGGGGAGCTTTGGGATGAGTGTGTGCAGTTTCCCGCCCTCTCTGCAGCGCTTCTGTTCCCTTTCTGGTCTGAAGAATTATACAGCCCCACTCCGGAAGGGGGCGCTTCCCATCCCAGGCCTAACCAGCCTCCAAGCCAGGTCATCATGCAAGGAGCTGCTTCCGGGAGGGGTGGGAGGGAGGGACGGAGGACCCGAGGCTGTTCCATCAAGAAATTCAGGCCGGTGGGAGGAGATAAAATAGATTTGCCTGGGAGTCAAGGCACTGCACAAAATACTGACTTAAAAAAAAAATCCAAATACTATTGGTATTGAAAAAATAAGCAATTAAGCAATTTCTCTAAACTTAAAAAAAAATGTTTCAGTGGTGCAGGGTCTTAGGTAGTTCAGGATAGCCTCAAGCTCACTATGTGGTTGAGTATTAGGTGAGGCACCACACCCTGTTTTATGCTGTGGTGGGGATGGAACCATGGGCTGCACACATGCTGGGCAAACACTTTAGCAGCTGAAATACATCTAGAAGTTTTTAGAATAAAATCTAAGATGCATACAGGCAAGCACAAGGTTGGAACTGGCATCCTTGATAGCTGCTCAGGCCAAAGGACCTCTCCTCCCATTCCTGGCCACACCCCAGCAAGATCAGCTGACCTACCTGACTTCTAACCTCCTTGTGAGCCTCATGCAAATGAGATTGGAGCTGTATTCTTTTGTGCCTGGCTTCTCTGTGTCTTAGAGATGTTTTGGCATCTAGAATGTTACTGCGTGGTGGCCTCACGGATATTGATCCTAGAGCCCTTAGGGGTGTTCTCTGCTATGGAATTTCCCCCTCTGAGCTCGTCTTCAAGTGGACCAGCCCATGACTTTTTGATGTGTGGAGCCCAATTTAGAAATCTGTTTCCTGGGGGTCTTGGGGCAACATGAAAAGTGTCTTTGCTGTCTGTGGAGGGGAGGGTTTACAGGGCTGTGGAGTTGACTGCCACGGGAGACTTCCTTCCACCTGCCAGGTCCAGGGTGGCTAACTGCTTGAGGGTGGAGCCTTGCTTTCTCTCCACCCTGGGACAGTTTGCCACCTCAATCCCATCCTTCTGTCTCCCAGCAGCTCAGACTGGAGGCCAATCAGGAGAAGTAAGAGTTGTCTTTGCATCCGGGTCAGAAACTCCAAGGAAGTTCTGTAATCTGCCCTGTTTGCTCAACAAGCTGCCCTAAATGCACACGCCTTCACCCTCGGTCCCACTCACTGTAGGTCTGACTGGAGCGTAGAGAAGAGGGGCCTCATGGCCTCCGCAGAACTAGGATCTGTTGACTCCATAAGGGGCATCTTAGCCTTCCTAGAGCGTCCCCTCATGATGCCACCTGCTCCACCAAATGTCAGTGTCATCTTCCTGGTCCCCTTATGCTCGTGCCTCCTCTGCACTGGCTGTGAAATTCTGACTCTGCCAGTGCTGGGCCCGGCCTGTGTGCAGATGCATCTGCCCTCATCATAGAAACTCAGAGACCCTGGAGTCACCGTGGCGTCAGGGGCCTGTGGGCACTGGCAGGCTCTCCTCCGGAACTGAGAAGTGTGGTGGGACCGCCCCTCCCCCCAGAGATGTAACGTCACATGTTCAGACGCTTGGCCTGACCTGAAACATTCTGGACAGTTCTGTTGAGATGGAGGGATGTCCTGGGTCATAGAGTTTCTCTCTCTGCTACATCTACTTGTCAGGAGTTCCCAGAGGAGCACCCTGGGAAGTAGGAGTTAACCTGGCCTTGCCACTGGGAACCTCCACAAAGGTGTGGTCCCTCATCCACAGTTTCCAAATCCAAACATCTCAGAACCCCAAGAAAGATCTGCCCATCCGTAGGCAAAGCCAAACAGGCTCAGGGTTTATAGTGGCCTTTTGAGGTGCTCATGCGTGCTAAGCGTGGGCTCTGTCAGTGAACCCGAAGCCCCAGCTCCTGTGCAGCCCACTTGGCAAGAGTCAGGACAGGTTTTGAAGAAGAAAAAGCAGGGTGTTTAGTGAGCTCCCCACCCCACCAGGAATACTGCAGAGAAGGCGGCGGGGCGCCGGGGACTCCTGACTTAGCTATGGTGTTCAGCTTACAATTTGCTGTCTTAACCAGAGAATGGAGAAGGGGCACGTAAGCGATAGGTACCATATTCGGAGTTGTGGTCTATCCTGGGCTAGCAGCGTATGGTCTGTTGACAGTTTGTGTTACCAGGCAGTTGAATAAACAGTAGTGCCAGGTGGGACAGTGATAGCAAGGGTGACGGCTGTTGTGTGGACATACTGAGGGGCAGCAGAATTGATCGGGTGATGTCAGTTTATGGTTTGGTGTTTCTTTGGTTGTGGTTCCACCATAAGCCAAGGAGTATTGGTCTGGTAGTGGTGTGGGTCTCGTGCTCATAGAGTTCATTTCATTAAGATGATAGTTCTTGTCTGGCCCTAGGATGTGGGTGAGGACTCTGCCTTTCCACCCTGGAGCACTCCTGTGCCAGACAAGTCTTACTCTATAGCCTATGTTGATCTCAAACTCATGGCCCTGATATCTCAGTCTTCAGAGCGCTAGGATTGTATCCAGTGTGCTTCTGGGGAACTGCTAGCTGCCAGCTCGAGGCTTGGGGTCTCCAGATCATCCTGACACACCCTGTTGTCTTTTCCCTTCTACTTGGAAAACAGGTTTGAGGAGGTGTGGTCTCTTTGTAGCAGGCTTTGTCTTCCGTGTGTACTGCTAGATGAGTTTTGACAGGTGTGTGGGGCTGTGGAGCCAGCGCCCTACTTGACATAGGGAACAGCACCATCTCCCCAAAATATTCCCCATTCCTCTTCTGAGTCAGCACCTCACGTCTCCCGTCTCTTGTGACCTGTGACCTCATCTCCATGCTGTAGTTTTTTCCTTTTCTAGAAGGTTCTAGAAATAGAATCATGCAGTAGCTTTTTTTTTCCCCTTCAGTGCTATGGATGGAACCCAGGGTCTCCTGCATGGTAGCCAGAGCTCCACCACTGAGCTACAGTCATAGCTCTTGATTATTTGAGACCAAGGCTCTTGATTTGCCTGACTTCTTGATCCACTGCATCCCATGGTTGGGAGGCAGGCAGCAACACTGTGCCTTCGGAGGTGAGCTTCATGTAGGTCTGTAGTAGCC